CAGAGCTTTTCTCTTTTATTGTTAATATAACAAGTAACATTGTTTAACATTTGAAAATCAGTCAAGCCTTGCAATCCTGAGACAAACTCTATTTGGTTGTGGAGTATTATCCTTTTTAAATATTGTTGGACTCAATCTGCTAATATTTTAATGATTTTTGCAACTATAGTCATGAGGATTCTTATTTTAAGAAAAGTCTTTGGTAACCAATTCAACTTCTTTAATAGATGAGCTATCCATCTGGCTCTTGTGTGAATTTTGTTAAGTTGTAATTTTCAAAATACGTGTCTATTCCATTTAAGTTGTGTTCATTCATGTTAAGACTGTCCCCAGTATTCTCTTGTTATCCTTTTAATATCCATAAATTCTGAGGTGGTAATCTCTTTTTCATTCTTGATAGTTATGATTTGGGTTCTCTTTTTTCTTGATCAGTCTAGCTAGAAGTTTCTCAATTTTGTTGATCTTTTCAAATAGCCAGTTTTATATTTGTTACTTTTCTCAACTGTTTTCTATTTCACTGATTTCTACTCTTATTTTTATCATTTCCTTCCTCATGTTTACTTTGGGTTTACTTTCCTCTTTTTTTTTTCTAGCTTCTTATAGCGAACTTCAGATCATTGATTTTAGATCTTACTTCTTTTCTAATACTACCATTTAAAGCTACAGATTTTAGGGGCGCCTGGGTGGCTCAGTCGGTTAAGCATCTGCCTTCGGCTCAGGTCATAATACCAGGGTCCTGGGATCGAGCCCTGCATCAGGCTCCCTGCTCAGCGGAGAGCCTGCTTCCCCCTCTCCCTGCCTCTCTGCCTACTTGTGCTATCTCTCTGTCAAATAAATAAATCAATCAATCTTAAAAAAAAAAGTAAAGCCACACATTTTAGAGCGCCTGGGTGGCTGAGTCAGTTAAGCATCTGGCTCTTGGTTTTGGCTCAGGTCATGATCTCATGGGTCGTGAGCTCGAGCCCCTCATCTGGCCCCACTCGCACATGCACTCTCTCCCTCTAAAATAAATAAATCTTTAAAAAATAAAAAAATAATAATAAAGCTACACATTTCATGCTAACATTGTTTAAATGCATCTCACAAACTCATATATTTTCATTATCACTCAGTCCCAAATATTTTCTAATTTTTCTTGAGATTTTGTCTTTGAGCTATGAATTATTTAGAAGTATATAATTGTATTTCCAGATATTGGAGGTTTTCCTTGTTACTTTGTCACTGATTTCTTTTTTTTTTTTTAAGATATATTTATTCATCTTAGAGAGAGAGCATGAGCAGGAGAGGGAGGGGGGAGAGAAAATCTCAAGCAGACTCTGCACTGAGTGCAGAGCCCGACATAGGGCTCGATCTCATGACCCTGAGATCACAACCTGAGTCAGACACTTAACTGACTGTGCCACCCAGGCACCCAATTGTCACTGATTTCTAAGTTAATTCTGTTGTATTCAGAGAATACACTTTGTATGATTTTAATTCTTGTAAATTTACTGAGACTTGTTTTATGGCCCAGTATATGACCTATCTTGGTCAGCGTACCATGTGCACTTGAAAATAATGCATATTCTATAGTTTTGGGATGCAGTGTTCTATAAATGCCATTAGATCAGGTGGCTGATTATGTTGTTCAGATCTATGTCTTTACTAATATTTTGTCTAATTAGTCTATCAATTAATTAGATAGTATGTTAAAATGTCCTACTATAGGGATGCTTGGGTGGCTCAGTTGGTTGAGCATTCAACTCTTGGTTTTGGCTCAGGTCATGATCTCATGGGTCATCAGACTGGGCTCCACGCTCAGCGGGGAGTCTGCTTAAAGATTCTCTCCCTCTGCCCCTCCCCCTCCACACACGTGCATGGGATCTCTCTAAAATAAATAAATCTTGGGCGCCTGGGTGGCTCAGTTGGTTAAGCAACTGCCTTCGGCTCAGGTCATGGTCCTGGAGTCCCGGGATCGAGTCCCACATCAGGCTCCCTGCTCAGCGGGGAGTCTGCTTCTCCCTCTGACCCTCTTCCCTCTCGTGCTTTCTATCTCTCATTCTCTCTCTCTCTGAAATAAATAAATAAAATCTTAAAAAATAAAATAAAATAAAATAAATAAATCTTTAAAAAAATATCCTACTATATTGAGGAATTGTCTATTTCTCCTTTTGTCAATTTTTGCTTCATATATTTTGAAGCTCTTATTACACAAAAAAACATTTGTAATTGATATGCTTCTGTGATGAACTGTTCACCATTATGATGCAGACCCTTTATATGTGCTCTTAAAGTCTGTTTTATCTGATATTTAAAAGTAACCATACCAGCCTTCTCATACTTCTGTTTGCATGTTATACCTTTTCCCATCCACTTACTTTCAACCTACATGTCTCCTATAGCCAGCCTATTGTAGGAATTTGCTCTTTTACCCATTCTAGCAATATCTGCCTTTGAATTAAAGTTTTTAAGACCATTTACATATAATCATTGTACTGGTTGAATTTGGGTCCACCATTCTTATTGTTTTCTCTTTGTGTTCTTTATTTTCCTTCCTTTTCTCCCCCTTTCCTGCCTTCTTTTGGATTATTTCTATTGTGTTGGTGATTACCCTAAAAACTATAGTATGTACTCTTGATTCATCAAAGCCCATATTAATCAGTACCTTTACCACAGTTTCCTTCTGCCTGAAGAATACCCTGTAGAATTTCCTTTGGTGCTGATCTGCTGTGGCACATGCTCTCAATTTTGTGTTTATCTAAAAATGTTTTCATCATCTTGCCTTCATTCTTGAAGGATCTTTTTGCTGGGTAGAGACTTCTAGGATTGCAGTTTTCTTTCAGTATAGCAAAAATGTGATTCTACCCTTTTCTGGTTTCCATTGTTGCTGTTCAGAAAGAAGCTGTTAGTTTACTTCAGGTGTTGGCAAATTATGACCCCTGGGTTAAACTGGGCGCAGCACCTGTTTTTGTAAATATAGCTTTACTGGAACACTGCCATAACCATTCACCTAAGTATTCCCTATGGCTGGTTTTGTGCTACAAGGGCAGAATTGAGAGGTTAAACAGATCATATGGTACTAGCATACAAACAGACCAATGGTCTAGAACAGAAAGGCCAGAAACAAATGCGCAATTAGAGGGTCAGATGATCTTCCACTAAGATGCTAAGACCACTCAATGAGGAAAGGAAATTTCTTCAACAAATGGTGCTGGGAAAACTGTATATCCACATGCAAAAAAATGAAGTTGGACCCTTATCTTACATCATGTACAAAAATTAACTCAAAATGGGCTAAAGGTCTAAGTGTAAGACCTAAACTATAAAACTCCTGGGAGAAAACATAGAGGAAAAACTTCATGACAAACTTAAAAACTTTTACGTATCCGAGGATACAATCAACAGAGTGATTGTGAGTGGAATATTAGCTACATTAATTAATGTATGACCTTATTGTTTGTTTCTCTTTGTGAACAAGTTACTTATCCTCTCCAAGCCTAAATTTCCCAATCTTTAAAGTGATGACAATACCACTTTCAATGTTTGTTTATGGCATAAAAATGGGTATGCAGTAAAAATTAGTTCCTGTCCTTTTCTAAACTGCCTTCAAAGTCTATGCCATTGTCTTAAACATTTTCAATGGTGAGAAATCTTAATCTTTCATCATGGATTGGGCCATATAGTCAACTAAAAGTGACTATACAAGCTAAGTTTAATAAACAACATGAGTGATCTAGATAGTTCTTCATCTAAAAGGTGTTTTGCAGAAAGAACCCTATGAGCCTGAGCAAGATCTTGATCATATCACTATTACTTTTTGGAGAATTTCAATTTTTCAATTTTTATAGGCTAAAATGATTGTCTGACCTTAATGCTACCTGGATTGCATGCTTCTGTCATGCATACAATTTGAGAATATTAAAGTTGGCCACTGGAGACTTTGATGACTCGTTTTTGGATCACATAAAGAAACATGTTTTATTACATGTTATTATTTTCTTTAAAAATGGTTTTGTCCAAGTGCCTTAGAAACAGCAGAACAACAGAACAGGGGCGCTTGGGTGGCTCAGTCGGTTGAGTGTTTGACTCCTGATTTTGGCTCAGGTCATGATCTCAGGATCATGACACTGAGCCCTGTGCCAGGCTCCATGCTGAGCATAGAGCATGCTTAAGATTCTCTCCCGCTGGTGCGCCTGGGTGACGCAGTTGGTTAAGTGTCTGACTCCTGGTTTCAGCTCAGGTCGTGATCTTGGGGTGGTGAGATGGAGCCCCGTGTCGGACTCTGCAGCCAGCACAGAGTCTGGTTGAGACTCTCTCTCCCTCTGTCCCTCCTGCTCATGCTCTCTCTCTCTAAAATAAATAAATCTTTAAAAAAAATTCTCTTCTCCCTCTGTCCCTCCCCGCCACCACTTGTGTCCACTCCCTCTCACCCTCCCTAAAAAAAAATTAAAATAAACAGTAGAACCAACTCTATGTGCCTAAAACAATCGTTAATTCTGAGTTCTTAAGAACCACAAGAAAAACAATCCCACTGATACAAAGTCATACTTTATACTATCTTTATAATGTGCTCAGGATAATTTCATCAATGACCATCTAATTCTTTTCTGCCACAATTTAAGCACATCACTTCTTGTTCTACAGTCTGTTAATAAGAGAACAAGTACATCAATAATTACAAAGTCTTTGGCACCTGAAGCAGCTATTAAATCACCCTTCATCCTTGCCTTCTCCAAGTTAAATAACCCAAATTCCTTTGCTTTTACTTAATATGTTCTAGATCTTTGAAAGCTCAAATTTGCAATAGTAAGAAAACACCTGCAATACTAGGAAAATAACTTTTACATACTTTACACAGACAATTAAGAAAATATATAGAGTTAGAATTACAGTTATGTAAAAAAGCAATGTGGTAAATATATTTATGAATAAAAATGAAGACTCAGAAAAAAACTGTCATTCATATATTAATTCTACACCATGGTTCTAATTCTAGTATTCTAGAGCACAATAATCCTTACCAGGGGACTTTCCTTGCTGTGAGTTGCTTCTTCGCTCTCTGTATCTGGCTGGAGTGGATAAACCTGCGTCTTTACTAGGCTTGCTAGCAGGCCCCATTTCTGAAATAAGGAATCCCATCTGTTCTGAAGGCAAGATATTCTCAGGTGGATTGGTCTGGCATTTTATACTGGCATCCACCTAAAATATTAAACCCACTCATTATTCTGAATTTACCCCAAATATCTACTAAAAGTTAAGATATTTTATCAGAGGAGTTCTATTATTGAAACATGATCCAACAAACATACCTGTAAAAGGCTTTTCATTCTTACCAGTGATACTACCTTTGATTTTGTTTAATCTGAATATTCAGTAGTAGGATATATATTTCCCCATGCACAAACCACTGAAATATATATGGAGCTAAAACATTTACTTATGATCAGAGGAAGATTAACCATGAAGCTTGTTGATTTTTTTTTTTTGGTAAAATTCACACACACACACAAATTTACAGTTGGTTAAGACCCCTATCTTTTTCCACTCTAGTATCCCTTTCATCAGATTTCCACCCCCATTGGTAATATTGAAATGGTCACTGACATAATTCTGTTGGATGATGTCAGTGGAGCTGAGGACACTTTATTCTACTAATTTTGTATTCTTTGTCTTAAAGAGGTCCTCAAAATTGTATAAGCTTCAGTCCCTATAAAATCTAGATCTGTTCTGCTTATGAGATATGAGTTTGGAGTTCCTAAGTTTTCTTTGGAATGCAAATCCCTTCATCAAGGTGACCAACTTCTGAACTACTCTTATTTCTTTGAATTTATTTTAAATAAAACTATATAATGAAATAAAGCTAAAAGTTAAAAACATAACTTTTAAAAGCTCTGATGTTCAAATATATTTTTTAAAGATCTTGAAAGTAATTACATGAATGCAATTTTAAGGTATGAAATCTAATATTTTGGATGTGACTATGAAGGAACACAGACAAATTTTATGTTCTTTCCACAATCATATTTGAAACACAATGGGCCTATCTTTGGTCTACTGAATTTATAATTTATATTTATTATTTTAACACACGATATACTGGGTCTCGACAGTTGGGCTCAAAAAGGACAATGAGTTGATAGATATCTTAAGACATTTGGATCTAAAATTAGAGCTAAAAAAATGTGTTAAAAAAAACACAACTGTCCAAAAGTTATCTTGGGAATCTAACAGTGATATTTTCAGTCCCATTAAAGAAAAAAATCCAAAATTTAATATATATATATATGGCTAAGATCAAGAAAAAAATAAAAGTAGGAAAAAACAAGTTAATTCACAAAAAGTGATTTTAATTTAGGTATACTTTTATTTAGAATCAAACTTTATTCATTTTCTGGTCATAAACCAGCAGCAATAAAGGAATTAGCTTCTACCTTCAGAAAATGTCTCTCAAAGGAGAGTCAGAATTCTGCTTTAAGAATGTAGGTAACAATAACAAAGAGTGTAGATATTAGTAATGAAATTCAAACATAGTATGCTCACAAGTCAAATGTGAATTCAATAATGCTGTAAGAAAGTATGAAAAGACCCTAACCATCTCCTTACCTCCATGCTACAAATGGCTAGGAAAGTCCTGATATTATCTGCCAGATAAACCATCCTTTCTGAGTTTAATCAGCCAGGCACACCTAGTCCATCCAAATTAAGATAGGAAGCAAAACTCAAGGGATGCTTTTAACATGAAAATAAGGTTTATACCACAATGCTCCTACTGCCTCTCTAGAGGCTGACTTCAGACCATAACAGTAAAAAGATGTCTGGGGTTTAAGGTTACTTCTTTCTGAATTTTTTGTGCAGAATCACTGGGACATGATCCTTCTGGAAAGCATAATGGGAGCACCTGGGTAGCTCAGTCGGTTAAGTGTCTGACTTTGGCTCAGGTCATGATCTCAAGAGTCCTGGGATCAAGCCCCATGTCAGCCTCTGCACTCCGTGTGGAGTCTGTTTGTCCTTCTGCCTCCCCCGACCCCTGGTTTGGGTTCTGGCGTCTCTAATAAATAAATAAAATCTTAAAAAAAAAAAAGCATAATGAACTGGTAATAAACCCAAATAAAATGTGAACAAACTCTTTACTAGAACGGTCTTTAGCAAGAAGCACTAGGTACTTTGAGCTTTTTTAGGACTTTTTTCTTTGCCTTACCTGGGGTGTGCTGAATGGTAGCCCTTCCTGCACAAATACTACTGAAGATGGAGATGGATTATGACTTAGCTGCTCCTTCAGTTTGACATGAGCTTGTTGGATGGCTGCAGATTCCTGCATTGTAGTATTTTCAACAGGCTGAGCTGTGTGGATGGTATAGATGTACTCAGGTGACTGTGGTAGAGAGCAGGTAATTGCTTGTTCTGCTCCGACTACAAAAGATGTAATATCTGAGCCTACAGGAGTAAGTGGCTCCAGCTGGCTAGCCTGACTTGTGGAAGATGGATTGCTGTTGTTTGAATTAGCTAGGATATGTTGGCCTCTGTTAGACTGAGATGTTGGGCACTGATTCTCAACAGGCTCCACCTTCACCATCTCCAATTTAGGGGAGGAATGCAACTCATCTACTATCTGAAAAACAGCCTCTAGGTTTACTTCTGTCTTTTTATTTTCATCAGTAGCACTGCAAGGCCAATTAGAAGGCAGAAATTCAACTGGATAGGAGGATTGCATTGGAGGATTCTGGGAAAAGAGAAAATAGGACTGTTTGGATAGAAAATTGAATATGAGGTTAAGGAGGAAAGCAACAATGTTTAGGCTGATAAATGTTAAACAGATAGATTAAATTTTAACTAAAACTCACTAAGAAAACTTGAACACCAATCAACTTTTCAGCAATGGTAGCTTCAATTCTATTGTTAACATTTACTTAGCCACTAATATATGTCAACCACTCTGCTAAGTTTAATACTGGAAAGGACCAATAATTCTCAGGGTTAAAGTATACCAAATCAAAAAGCTATAGTACCCAAATACCTATTTGCTGATAAAATGTCTATACACTCAATTCTTCCATTAAAAGTTGACAGACAAAAACATCACTTATATCTATCATATACTATTTTAGGAATGTAGTAAGGAAATTTCAAACACAGGATGCTCACAAGTCCACCAATGCTTCTATAGATTCAGGGGGAGGTACTGATATTCTGTTCCAAATGATCTGGGAAAAAATGGATGGAATATCGAATGTCCTTTGGTTCCTGAGATTGCTTATTTTTAATAATAAAACAATAGATTTTAAAAAGCTCTCATTTTTAGATGTATTCTTTATATCTTTAAGATGTATTCTCTTATACATAGTACTTTGCACAGAGTAGGCATTCAATTACATGTTTGATGATAAATAATCTCAAGCTATGAATATAAAATACTGAAGAGTAATAATAAAACGTGTAATAGGTTGATGTTGCCAAATATACAACAAAGACTGTGTCAGTTATTTGAAGGACATTATTAAATGGTTTAAGCATCAAGCCACTCAATAAATGGTTTAGTGAGTTTACTGAGTTCTTACTAAGTGCCACTTATTTATTGAGTTCTTACTATGTGCCAAGCACATGCAAAGTACTTTATATACATTATTCCATTTAATCCTCTCAAGAGGTCTATAAAATGTGATCATTTCCATTTCCAAATGATGAAACTGAAGTTCAGAGAAACTGTGTAATTTACCCAAAGTCACAATGAAATAACTGACAGATCCAGGTTTCAAGCATGGTTGCCTGACTTAAGAGCTCTCGCTCTTAACCTTTACACTATAATGATCATTCATGCACACTCTCACCAATATCTATGATGCAACTAAACCAACTGCTTTTATTTCCAGAATCACACCTAAAATATATTTTTTTTCATTTCAAAAATGTTATGTCTACTTATCTTTATTTTCCTGTAACAAACATGTATTGTCTTTCTAGTAAGGATATTTCTAAGGAGATGTTAAATAATTTATTTAAAACATAAACATAATCAAGACATAAACACCATCAGGAGTATCTCCAGTATGATCCAAGGGAGAGTGTGTCCGGATCCACAAACAAAAGCATCTAATTTGTGGGACAGACATATCCCTCTAGTGAAGATGAACAGATTGGACTATCATGCTTGATGGTACCTGCCATTAAAAATGTCCAACTAAGTCCCTTTGATCTGATTCTATGCTCTTCAAACAACGATCTGATTATAATTTGACATCCCATGTAATTTTCTCAAAAAACAAAAACAAAAAACAAACGAATGTTTCTTTCAGTTCCAGAATGCCACTAGTAAGATATTCTCTTAAAAACAGAAGCTATCTCAACTACATGATATCAAAGGCGAACACATAATTCCAATCTTTAAGCAATTACAGCATAAAACTACAAAGCATGGAATTTAATCTTATCCTAGAAATAGCCGTCTAAAACATTTAAATCAATGCAATTGCTCCCCAATAAATGATGAGAAAATAATTGAAGTATAGTATTTACAATATGGGGGCAGAAAGGGATCACCACTTAAATTTCTCATTTTTATTTCACTTTTCCTTTCTCATTAAAGAAAGTAATTATCTGTATCATCTTGGAAGAAACTGTCATTTGGTGACTTACATACTTTTAAAGTTTATCTGATAGTCATTTTACCATAGAAGAACGTAGAACAGCAATGCTCAAACTTTCCACAATGAGGAAAATGCTCTCTGTGCCGTACCACTAGCCATATGACACTTGGAGCACTAGAAATGAATTTCAGATTTTATTTCATTTTAATTAATTTAAATAGCCACATGTAACTAGTGCCTACTGTTTTGGACACTAGTGCTTATTGTGTGGATGTCTGACTCCTCAGACATCACTTCTATCAACTCCCTCTTTTTTAGAACTGAGAAAACTGAAGCCGTAATCCACAGCTTACCTCTGGCTACTCATTAAGATAAAATTATACTTTAAAACTGTGCAAGGTCACTCATACTCCCCGTCAAGTACAGAGTGTGTCCACCGTTCCGAGAATCTTACCTGGAAGTAGTTGCAGTGTGCATAGGAAGAGGCAGTGGGGGTGACACAACTACTCAGAGCGTCCATGTGGGTGGAAGGAGAGCAGCACTGTAGCACAGCTGGGACAGATTCAAACAGAGAACAGTCATCAACCACAAGTAACCTCTGCGGCATTTAAGGCACACTCCCCTCTTTCAACTTAGAAAAATTCCAAAAGTTTTCCTTTGTGGATGCAATAAAATTATACTTAGTCCGATTCAGTGCTATTATTTATTGAAAACAACATGGCAATACACGAATTTAAAAAATCATTTTAAAGGGTCATGTCTACTTTTCTAATAATTTCTTTAGCACCTAAACATTTTGTTACCTTTCTAACCGAACATTTATTCTTATTGAAACTAATTTCATTTTACTGAAAATATCAGAACATATTTGGAATTCCAAAATAACCGTTTCAATCATTTTAACAGTAACAAACATTTGGAGGAGGGTGTGTTTTAAGGGTAAAATAAGTGAAATACTCTCCAAACACTCCTACCATTATACAATGCATCTAGTAAAATCCAGACAAAAATGTTTTAACCATTTAAAGAAATGGTTAAGAATTTTAATCTAAAGCCAGACTGTCTGGCTTTGGAGCCCAGTTCCAAAATTTTAATAGCTGTATAAACTTGAGCAAGGTTAATCTCTTTGGGCCTCAGTTTCTGCAGCTTAATAAAATAGGGATAATAATAGTACATACCCTACTATGTTTGTTGTGAGGAATGAATGAGTTAATATGTATAAAGCACTTAGAATAGTACTGGCATACAGTAGGCAATCAAAAAATAAATAGCTAATGCTGCTATTATTTTAACTAAAGAAGTACATTTTTCAAGCTTTCTCTTTATAGTTAGGATACCATAAAAAGATCAACTCTTTGTACTGGGATAGTTATACTTACAGATGCAGTCTTAATAATAGGTTGAGTCTCCTCTTTTCCAGAGAGAGACTCTCCAGAACGAATGAGAATCAGTTATAACAGATCACACCTTTGGATTAAACAGAGGACGACATTTATTGAGCACCTACCATGTTCAGGCACAGTACTAGGTGCTTTACATATATTGCTTCATTTAATCCAAACAACAATTGAATGAGGTATTAACATTACTTTACGAAATTAAGGAAACTAAAGCTCAGAGATGTTAAATAATTTGCTGAAAGTCACAAAGCTAATAGTGACAGAGCCAGCAATCAAACTTCAAAGCACATGCTCTTTAATGTACAATACTTCCCTAATCTTTCCTTCTTCCTAAAATGTAACATTTTAAGTTTACTAGAACTCCACTTGATGAATATATTTTAAGTTGTCTTTACTATAAGACTATACTTAAACTACTATATTTTTAAGTTGTCTTTCCTTTCTATGTCCACATTTTTATTTTGTGTATGCTAATAAAATTACTAAATCTTATTCTATGATCTTTGAAAGTAAATTAGCCTAAGGATTGTAAAAATTCATGGCAATGTTTCCCTATTTCTCTATTATTGACTACTGATTTTTAAAATGTCAGAAGTTCATGAAAGTATACTAGAAATATTTTTCTAATATCATGTGCAATTTAAGCCATTAAATTTTGCACATGGAAGGAAAAACTTGAAATAATGGACAAAATTCTGCTTTAGATTCACATGTAAGGGTTGATGTTTTGTGAATTACATCATTTTAACAATTCCAGTGATTAAAAAAGCCAGACATTACAAAGATGGCCACATAAAATTCATGCTGTTATCACTTCCAATATAGGTTAGGTAAGCAGGTTCTTACACTTTAACCTTTGGAGATTATTCACATACACAATTTCAATGTTTTGGATTTGAACTTGATTTCCCACAATATTTGAAAGCATAAGTATCCTGGGAAAGAACTTAAAACCAAAAAGGAAAACACCAAGGAGGGGTCTGCTGGGTTTGCCACAACTCTGGAAAACAACGGACATTTTTCTAGAGTTTTAACAGCTAAGGAAAACCTAGCCCCCTAGTGGCAAGAAAAGACTCAGTCAGGAGCTGCCGGTTTTCACTCATGAGGGTACCATGAAATAGTATTTTGTTACAAATTAATCAATGAAAGGTATTAGGTTTATTTTTCTGATATTGTTCTGATTCCATTGCTTACACATTTTAAATAGTTGTTAAAGTATACTTTAAAATAAATTTCTTGGGTAAAGTAAAATATACAACAGAGAGTATATTAATATATAGCTGATAGCTGATGTGGTATCTAAGGAAACAGCAAAATGGTGAATGTCCTTTTAAGTTTCCAATAACAAATGGAAAGTGGAAAGCTACCTGCAAAAGGGGATGTGAATAGATAATCCAAAAAGATTCCTCAGTGGCTATTTCCTTACCAGTGCAGTCAGACTTTGTACAGTCAACAAAACAGAACAAGGTAAGATACTAGTAAGTTTACCGAATATGAAAAACCTAGCTATAGAAATGCAACTGTGTGCTTAATATATGACAAATTAACCCAGTTATATTATGAAAGCACTGCCATTTATAAAACTAAATTTATCACTATATCCTAAGGCACATTCATCTGCATAAAGATCTTCCCCTGTCTTCCTGAAGGCAGTATTCACTTAAGGCATTAAATTGCACGGAGAATGAAAAACTGGAAATAATGGACAGAATTCTATTTCAGATGTAAATATAATAGTTAATGACATTTTAAAAAACAATTCTGGTAATTAAAAAAATCCAGGAGTAGGAGTGCCTGGGTGGCTCAGTCGGTTGAGCATCTGCTCGGGTCATGATCCCAGGGTCCCTGATAGGGCTCCCTGCTCAGTGGGAGGTGAGCTCCTCCCTTCTCCCTCTGCCCCTCCCCCGCTTGTACTTGTTCTCTCCCTCCCTCCCGTCCCTCCCTCTCTCTCTCTCCTTCTGTGTCAAATAAATAAAAATAAAAATCTTTAAAAAAAAATCCAGGAGTACTAAAAGTTATCTAATGGTAAAAATTTTCACTCCCACTATAGGTTAGGAAAACAAGTTCATACTCTTTTATCCTATGGAGGTAATTCAAATATATAATTAAAATGTTTTAGACTTGAATCTACTCCAGAATAGTACAGTGACAACAGTGAGAAAATCCCCAATTTAAATGCTCAACAGGAAAAACATCTTAATAGTAAATTTAGTTTCAAGATAAGTTACTATACATCTAAAACCCCAATACTTCCTCACTTACAGTAGGGTAAAGATCTTCTGGGCATATACCCAAAAAAAGTGAAGGCAGGCCCTCAAATATATATATATATATATATTTGTGCATCCATGTTCACAGCAGCATTGTTCACAACAGCCAAAAGGTGGAAGCAACCCAGGGTCTATCAATGGATGAATGGATAAACAAAATGTGGTACATACATACAATGGAAAATTACTCAGCATTAAAAAATAAGGAAATTTTGACCCATGCTACAGTATCAATGAACCTTGAAAACAGTATGCTTAATGAAATAAGCCAATCACAAAAGGGCAAATATTGTATGATTCCTCATACATGAGTTTCAGAGAGTTGTCAAATTCATAGAGACAGAAAGTAGAACGGTGGTTGCCAGGAGCTGGGGGGGAGGGGGAATGTGAAGTCAGTGTTTAACGGGTGTGGAGTCTCAGTTGGGGAAGACGAAAAAGTTCTGAAGATGGAAGGTGGTAATGCTAGTACAACAATGTAAATGGACTTAACGCCACAGGACTGTAGACTTAAAAATGGTTAAAGTGGTAAACTCTATGTTATTTATATTTCACCTCAATAAAAAGAAAGACAAATATAATTGTGCTTTTGTTTAGTTTCTTCTGGCAGCTAAAGAGAACTTCCTGTCCCTCTTTCCATAAGAACAAAATCAGGCCTTTTCAAAGAAACTTGACAATAGAGGCTACCTGAGTGCAAGAACGACAGCACTGGAAAGCTCTTATAACTCCAGGTGCTGTATGTGTTGATGTACACTATATAAAATTAAAAGCCTAAAAATAAAATCTTTAGAATTTAAATGTACTTTTTTTTTTTAAGATTGTATTTATTTATTTGACAGAGAGAGAGACAGAGAGAGAGGGAACACAAGCAGGGGGAGTGGGAGAGGGAGAAGCAGGCTTCCTGCCGAGCAGGGAGCCCGATGCGGGGCTCGATCCCAGGACCCTGGGATCGTGACCTGAGCCGAAGGCAGACGCTTAACCACTGAGCCACCCAGGCGCCCCCCAGTATTTTTTGTTTTTAAAAGATTTTATGTATTTATTTCAGAGAGAGAGAGACAGCATAAGCATGAGTGTGGGGGGGTGGATGGGTCGGTGGATGGGTGGCAGAGAGAAGCAGGCTCCCCACTGAGCAGAGAGCCTGATGTGGGGCTTGATTCCAGGACCCTGGGATCATGACCTGAGCCGAAGGTAGACGCTTAACGACTGAGCCACTCAGGCGCCCCGAGAATTTAAATGTACTTTAAAACAATAATAGGGGTGCCTGGGTGGCTCAGTCAGTTAAGCATCCGACTCTTGATCTCAGCTCAGCTCTCGATCTCAGGGTTGTGAGTTCAAGTTCCACACTGGGCTCCACGCTGGGCATGGAACCTACTTTAAAAACAACAACAACAACAACAAAACCCCACAATAATAAGTAATTCTTTTTGTCCAAGATTCAAGTTAAAAAATTTTTTTTAAATAATGATACAATATGTATTTTTTCAATAAAAAATAAAAAGCATCATATGTACCTTGCAGAAGTTGTATATTCTTAACAAATTACTGTTTTTAGACTTTAGGATGTTAATATGTAGTTTCATTTGAAAACCAGCTTTTAAAATATTTTCTCCTTTCTATGTAAATAGTGTTTTATATTTTATAAAGTCTATTCACATACATTAAATTCATTTAATCCCTGACCTGAACTACTATTGCCACTTTAAAGGAAGGGAAATTGAGGGGGAGTGTCATGAAATAATCCCCTGAAGATCAGGTTAAATGATTAACTACAAAGCTGACACTAGAATTATTTCATTCCATTCAATACACTATTTACTAGGGAATCATAATAGCCGAGCACCATGCTAGGTAGAAGGGTATACAGAAATGAATTAGAGGCAGCCCCACTCCTCAGAGGCCCCAAACTAGGCCCCCACTCTAGCAGGTGGGAGTATGTTCTCACTGCTTGGGTAGGATGAGTCAATAATCCAGGGTAGTCCCACTGCCACCAGCAGCATAGAAGGGTAGGTCCCTCCATCATTTTCTGTTGTCTACCCTTTCTGGGAGTAACTAACTCCAGGAAGGAGATAGCAAGAAAGAGTCTCTCAAAAGATAAAACAAAAGTCTCTCTCTGTGTGAGAGGCAGGCAGGTAACAGAGTGCAATGACCAAAGAATGGACTCCTGAGTCAATTTGCCTGGGTCTGTTCCCCAGCCTTGCCTCTGACTAGTTGTGTTTCAGTTTCCTAACTTATAAAATGAGGATAATTACATTTCTAATCTTGCAAGGTTGTCATGAGGATTACATGAACTGGTATTTGGAAAATACTCAGAACAATGCTTGGTCATAGTGACTGCTATATAAATAACATCAGAGGGAAAAAAATGAACCCAAGATAAAACAAGACTAAAAAGAGTCAATCAATACTGGATCTCCAACATTTTGTCTTTGAAGGAGTGATAAGAGCGGAAAAAATGTAGTGAGCCAGGCAAAGAAAACAGGCACTTCAAGACAGGAATGACGAATGTAAGCACAGATTCAGATGAGTCATTTTATGAGTCTGTCTGCCAGCAATTTTCCAGTCTCAATCTTTGGCTTTACTAGAGAAATTGATTTATAAAATATTACAACATTCAAAATTTACTGTTTATATTATTTGAAGACCAGATCCAAATTTATTGTCAATATAATTTTTTAAATGAGGTCAGGTGTTGCTGTTTACTAAAATTTGATCCAAACCTCAAATCCTTCAAAAAGATTCAAGTATGGCCATTATTCCAAAATTAGTTACTTCATTATTACTTTAAGAGCTGGATTTGGGAGTGATTATTACCCTGCCTCTGAGAAGGATATTCTATTGAACTTTGGAAAAGTCATTTGTAATGCTCTTCATAAACAGGTACTCACTAAATATTGGTTAAATTGCTCACTACTTTTTGCTTCCTTCACCTAAAATTTGGAGGAATCAAATTCTTCTACAGTATTTTTATGGCACTTTCTTTTCCATAGCAAGTCTTTTGTATTTAACAATACAACCTTTTATTTATATAGTACTTCAGAATCTTCAAAGCAGTTTTGCTTATCACACTATATCACAGACCTACTCTATGTATTAGATGTCATCATGAGATCATGACAATTCTTATTCTCATAAACTCATAAACATTATAGTCATTTCAATTATCCCTATTAAAGGAGACAAAACAAAAATTCAGATAACATAAGATTCTATTTCACATGCCCTGTAAGCTATCAAAACATCAGCAGCACTTACTTGTTCTTTTAATGTCTCTTTCCTAGTCCTTACCTTGAACTCTTGGAGACAATTTTTAATTTATAATTTTATATCCAAGCTAACATAAAATATTTTTAAAATAACATATCCTAAATTATAATAATTTAACAAATAGTATTTCTATAATGAATGAATAATATTAACTATTTGTAGTGTTTTCTAGTACATAATACATAAGTGGTTCTCATAAAATTTGGAACCAAGTGTTTCCAAGAGGATTGTCTGGAACTTGAAATACATTTTCCCGTAGAAACATCATCACATAGGCTAATTTGGCTCCTAAACCACCCTAATATGTCCATGGGAAAATGCCTCCAAAATTACAAATTGGAAGGTTAAGCACCTTTCTACATCTCTCTTGCTGCAGTCCTTCCAAATTTAAACTCCCCAGAAGCTTCTGAGTCTTTAGTAGTTTGAGGGGGGGGCTTTGGAAGAGTTTAGGAAAGGAGAGAGAAACACTTACTGGTAAAAGAAAGGGGGGTAGCGGTATTATCCAGCTGATGGGCTATAGAATGTAAAGCAAGTGTAAGGAAGACACAGACTATCTCTATGTGTGTATATACATTCTATGCATACCCGGAATGGAGCTGAAGTTATCATTTAGATAGTAATGTCTAATCTGTTTATTAAAATGTTGAATTGGGGGTGCCTGGGTGGCTCAGTCGTTAAGCGTCTGCCTTAGGCTCAGGTCATGGTCCTGGGATCAAGCCCCACGTCGGGCTCCCTGCTTGGTGGGAAGCCTGCTTCTCCCGCTCCCCCTGCTTGTGTTCCCTCTCTCGCTGTGTCTCTGTCAAATAAATAAAATCTTTACAAGTAAAAAATAAAATGTTGAATTAAACTATTCACCAATAAAAATCTGACCCTATTTGTTGCTATACATAAGATCTAAAACTTCTAACATGAATTTAGTCATCTTCTATTTTTAAAGATCACACAGATATTTTTGTTTTTCAAAGAAGTAGCTGAAAATCTGGAAAAATACTAGACTTCAACCTTTTTCTTCATAAGAAGGTAAAAAAAAATTTAGATTTCTAATAGGCAAAATTAATAAAAGTGCTAAGTCATCCTTAATCCATATACTTCCTTTGCGTTTTCCTTCTCAACTCCATCTACCCAAAACAGTAGCAGTTCTAAAAATATATAAAACTCAATCTAATTTAAACTCTTGTTTTATTATTTTAATATTAAAATATCAAATATTTAATATAAATACCTATATTTAGGTAGAATGCAATAAGCCAATAATAAAAGAATACAGTTGGATGATACAGCTAGAAAATAGTGAGTCCTGTTACAAACAGAAGTTACCAGATTGAGAACTTGTAAAAGTCAACAAATTATTTCATTCCCTTATCAAATTTACATTCCTCCCACTTATTTTAGCTTTGGATTTCCTCCTCCCTAGGAGAAATGGTCTAACAAAATACCTCTAGATAACACTTCCAGATCTACATTTTTGAGAAAATTAATATTCCTAGAGTCTTAACAAAGGAATGCCCTCTTTCTTCTCTCTCTGGTCTTTTCTGAAAGCCTTGACCCTTGTCTTATTTCCATTGCCCCATTTTGTCACTCAGTATTAAAGTACTCTACATGATGAAACACACCGTGACTATATGGTGCTCCAGCAAAATCGAAGATACATTTGAATGGAAAGGAAAGGCTATTAATCTTGCAAAACTGTACCCCTCCCAAAAGACACTCCCCTCCCCCCAAGAAGCTAAACACATGGTCACTATAAGGATTCCCGATTAGTGGCTTGAGATCTACAGTATGTCTTCAATGCCCTTGGCTGAGCTCTAGGTCAGTTATCATTGTCAGGTTCTCTTCTCTGCTACTCCTACTCTGCACTTCTTAGGTGGCTGGGATTAACACTGAAGGGACCGCACTGTCAAGTCACACCATCACGTTTTTACTAAAAGAATGTAATTTAGTTTTAAGAGATAGTGTGTTCTTTTATTAAACTTCATTACTGAGATACTAAAATGATTTCATTATGAGATAATCTCACCTATAATATTAAAAAATACAGTATATACAGTTGACCCTCGAACATGAGTTTGAACTATGTGGGTCCACTTACGTGTGGATTTTTTTGATACAGTACAGTACTGTAAATGCATTTTTTCTTATGATTTTCTTAATAACATTTTCTTTTCTCTAGCTTATTGTAAGAATACAGTATATACTACATATAACATACAAACTATGTGCTAATCAACTCTTTATGTCATCTTAGGCAAGGCTTCCAGTCAACAATAGATAATTAGTAGTCAAATTCTGGGGCAGTCAAAAGTTATACACAGGGGCGCCTGGGTGGCTCAGTTGTTAAGCATCTCCCTTCGGCTCAGGTCGTGGTCCCAGGGTCCTGGGATCGAGCCCCGCATCAGGCTCCCTGCTCGGCGGAAAGCCTGCTTCTCCCTCTCCCACTGCTTCTGTTCCCTCTCTCGCTGTGTCTCTCTCTGTCAAATAAATAAATAAAATCTTTAAAAAAAAAAAGTAAAACTAGATTTTCAACTGCATGGGGGTCAGCACCCCAATCCTGCATTGTTCAAGGGTCAACTATAATATGTATATAATTTTTTTTTAAAGAAAAGAAACAAAATACTGCACCAACAGCAAAGTTAAAACAAGGTCCCAATGTACCACATCCTAGTTTCATTACTAGGACACATTTAAAAGATACAAAAGTTAAAAGATACTAAAAACATATACTTTTGTTTTACGTACCCAACAGAATTTTCACAATCCTTAAGAACACAATGAAATTTTATATATTGCTTAAAAATATGCCCTCATCAGAAATCTTTGACATTTCTTAGGTGCATATTCCTATTTTTAAGCATGCAGAAACGCATTAAAAATATAAATGTTCATTATAAAGTACTTTAAGAGAGGCCACTGAACTTGAATTTCTCATACCTGTTGGATAGTAGGCTTGGGAGTACTGCGCTGAGGGTGTGTAGTTACTGTATTTTTGGGAGGAGCTGACCATTGTTTGAGGACCTTGTTGAACATGTACAGATGTGGCGCTTGGCTGCAGGGTATAGGTAACCTCAGTTGGAAACCTCTGCAGTACAGGAAATGGAACCCCTTTATCTGAAAAAGTGGGAGACGTTTCCACTTGTCCTGGGTGCATTCCAAGGGAGTTCTGCCATGTTCTAGGAGGCATCGGGGTCCGATCTAAACCTTTCAGAGGGAAAGTACTGTGGTTGTGGGATGAAGTCGATACGTAGGAGTAAGGAGACAAACTATCTCGCCGGAATGACCGGTGGAATTGTCCTACAGCCACTGGTCCTGTGTCAAAAAGGAAGAACACATTTACTAATTTTACATTATACCACTGGATGTAGTAAACCAAAAATCACAAAATATGAATATGTTGAATTCTCAGCCATTTTTAACACAACAGAAATTTAGTTCTGGTAAAAACAAGTTCAGAATCCAGAATACACATATAATGCTAAAAAAATAATCAAACTTTTGCTTGGCTCTCAATATTACTATCATAAGAGACAAAGTAGCCAAACTCTAATATTAAGTCAAATGTTAAATCAAATTCACTGTTCAAAGCCTTTTACAGACGATTCAGTCATCTTACCTTTTTTTACCTCAACTGATTGACCCAGATTTTTCCAATCTGTAAGCTACTTCCTAGAAGTTTTAGAAATTCCATTCAGTCTTTCAAATCATTTAGAAAACTTAATAATAGGCACGAAAGTAAACACTCAACTGTATATATAAAATAAATAAGTGTAGATCAAACAAGAACTATAACACAAACCAAAAAGAAAGTTAATGTTCTTTACTCCCCTTCAATTTTTTTTTTTATGATATTTGCAGAAAAGTCAGGCTTGAAAACTTTAACTCAGTTCTCTTCTCCCTTTCTTAAATTAATCAACAATTTTCCATGGTCTTTTGTTCTTCAGAGGATCTCTAGTAGAGTCCCTTCCTAGATATCAGTAACTCTCAAACACTGACTTACTACATCTGAAATCACCTAGAGAGTTTGTTAAAAATCCACATACTCGGGCGCCTGGGTGGCTCAGTTGGTTAAGTGCCTGCCTTCGGCTCAGGTCATGATCCCGGGGTCCCGGGATCGAGTCCCACATCGGGCTCCCTGCTCGGCGGGGAGCCTGGTTCTCCCTCTCCCACTCCCCCTGCTTGTGTTCCCTCTCTCGCTGTCTCTCTCTCTGTCAAATAAATAAAATCTTTAAAAAAAAAAAAATCCACATACTCAGGCCCAAAGATTCTGATATTTGCTTTCTCTTATCTAGTGAGGTAGAAAGGAATTAAAAAGTGGAGGTGATGAAGACAGAGAAAGGGCAATACTATATAAAGAGAAAAAGAAAATATACATGTTGCAAGCTGAACTTATTTTTCAGACTGTAATTCTTTTTTTTTTTAAAGATTTTATTTATTTGAGAGAGAGAATGAGAGAGAGAGCTCACACATGAGAGGGGGGAGGGTCAGAGGGAGAAGCAGACTCCCCGCTGAGCAGGGAGCCCGATGCGGGACTCGATCCCGGGACTCCAGGATCATGACCTGAGCAGAAGGCAGTCGCCCACCCAACCAACTGAGCCACCCAGGTGCCCCAGACTGTAATTCTTGAACATAAAGCTAGGCTAATTTATTTCCAGGAAGACATCATGTATTAAATCATGTGGTTCACAAATTCCTTTCAATTTGCTTTATTAAACTAATCTATAAAACAGAGGAAAAGTCTAATTTATGTGCTACTCATCTGTTAAACTACATGGTAAAAGATGGCACTCAAAAACCTACTTTTTCAAATATAAATTTAAACTGTAATCCCATTCAACATGTTATACATCTTTCATTCTATTTCTTTGGTGTTTAATTTCCTCTAAAGAATAAAACATTAGGGGGCACCTGGGTGGCTCAGTTGGTTAAGCATCTGACTCTTGATTTTGGCTCAGGTCATAATGTCCTGAGATGGAGCCCCACGTGGGGCTCTGTGCCTGTGTGGAGCCTGCTTAGGATTCTCTCTGTCTCGGGGCACCTGGATGGCTCAGATGGTTAAGCGTCTGCCTTTGGCTCAGGTCATGATCTCCAGGTCCTGGGACTGAGCCCCTAGTCGGGCTCCGGGCTCAGCGAGAAGTCTGCTTCTCCCTCTCCCTCTGCCTCTCTCCCCTGCTGGTGCTCATGTGCGCGCGCTCTCAGTCTCAAATGAATAAATTTAAAAAATTTAAAAAAAAATTCTTTCTCTCCCTCTGCACCTCCACTCCACTCAGTCTCTCTCTCTCTCAAAAATAAAATAGGGGCGCCTGCATGGCTCAGTTGGCTAAGCAACTGCCTTCGGTTCAGGTCATGATCCCAGAGTCCTGGGGTTGATCCCCCCACCCGTCGGGGCTTGGCCTGCTTCTCCCTCTCCCTCTGCCACTCCTACTGTTAGTGCTCCCCTGCACTCTCTCTGACAAATAAATGAATAAAATCTTCTTAAAAATTAAATTAAATTAAAGCATTAAGAGTACTCCTAACCACTTCTGGTTTGGCACTGCCTGATTCAATTCAATTTTCTTAAAATAAACTCTTAAAAAATAATAAAAAATTTAAAAGGAATAAAGCATTAATGCCAAAAACAAATATATACATACATATATACACACAAATTCTAGAGCCCTGGAAATCAAGAGGTCTAAATCTAACAGAGAAAAAAATCTTAGTTCAGAAGATTGAATGTATTCAAATGATATCACCTCTTAAAAACTGCTTTTCCTCTTTTCCTCTAAAGTACAAAAAAATAGTTTTAATAGTATCTCATAGGGTTCTATTCTGACCAGCTTCACAGAATATCATCTATAGGTTTTCAGAACATCTTCAAGACATATTTGGCAAAGTTCAAATCCAGAACTCTGGAAATGCAAGGCAGGATGGATTTCTGTTCTTAAAGATCCTATTCCTTCTATATAAATGAATCTGAATTAATCAATTCCCAGGAAAAACTTGCCTCCTGTGAGCTTGGTATCCCCAGGCCAAAACGGATTATCTACTATTGCTCACATTTGTTACTTAGTTTAGAAAGTTTTAACAAATACTGTTAACAAATATTGTAAAATAAATTGCCACTTAAGTGCAAAATAACAAAAGTGGACCAAAAAAAAAAAAAAGGAAAAACATGTGATCTTCACATTTCTTATCAAGTACATTCCTGAAAGGTGAACAAGACAGTTAGTTCAATGGATCTTGATAAGGGAAATAGGTACTTAAAGGATTCTATTGTAAAAAAAAAAAAAAAAGACAATAGTATGCAAACCATAAGCTGAAGTAGAACACAGTAAACAAAGTGGAAACTAAGAAGCAACAGTATAGTCAGACATAAACTAATGAAAGATTCAAGATGAATAAAAATTACGTAAAAAAAAAAAAATACGTAAAGACAAACAGAAGAGCCAAGGGCTTAGAGCACAGAATTAAAGCAAACAAAGTTGGCCCAGTATTCTTGAACTTAGAATTACATCCCACCCACACCAGTAACACAATTCCTTAGTGAATCAAGCCTATGGTATAGACAATCCACAAATGACAGACCTTCTGCACCTACCAACAGGCAGGACAGTAAAAAATAGTAAATGCATGAAAACGACAATGATCTAGTTATATGTGGATTGATGTATTATTGATAAAGCAAAAGTATGAATTAAATTTGTTATTCAATAATCTTTAAAATGGGGGCGCCTGGGTGGCTCAGTCGTTCGTTAAGCGTCTGGCTTTGGCTCAGGTCATAATCCCAGGGTCCTGGGATCAAGCCCCGCATCAGGCTCCCTGCTCTGCAGGAAGTCTGCTTCTCCCTCTCCCACTGCTTGTGTTCCCTCTCTCGCTGTGTCTCTCTCTGTCAAATAAATAAATAAAATCTTTAAAAAAAAAAAATCTTTAAAATGCCGCCGCCTGGGTGGCTCAGTCAGTTAAGCGTCTGCCTTTGGCTCAGGTCATGATCT